ATGAGTTATTTCACGTGTATACAGTATTTGCGCTGTCTTGAGTACATTCCAATTTCTCGCTGAATCCGAAGATTTTAACTTAGCATATCAACATCAGAAATATTTTGGTTACATCTTGAATTTGGGTTATAAAAGTTCCAACGGTACCTTTTAAACATCCCAATCAGGCATAGCGGTTCTACCGAAGGGTCACCGTCCTGCAGTTGATTTGTTTTTTTTTTATTTACTTTTTGTCACATGAAGTAACGTAAATATGATTCGGTTGAACAGTACGGAACGGACGAAATATATGTTTTAACTAACTTAAAAAAAAGGGTTGAGTTCATGAGATTTTTTTGTGTATGTCGCCTTACTAACAAGTATTTCATGGGTTAAGATTCTTCTACTTTGTTATGTTTCCAACTTCAAAAATGCACCGGAGGTTTCTTAATTCGATCGACTTTTTTTGAAGCCACTTGAACACTATTATCCAGCTTTTTTTCCTTAAATAGGCCTAGTTGAGATTAGCTTCAAGAATAATATTTTTTACTCTGAAATAAGTGTTAAGCACACAACTTGTTTGAATTTAACATTATTTAACTTTTTTAAAGGTTTTAATACCTACTCAGTTAATATTTTTTGAAATGTTCTTTAGTTTTAAAAATTGTCTGAAACAAAATTATTACAAACAAACAAACAAATGGGTACTTTTTTTTTAAAGAAATGTTGAGTTACTTAATATAATTTATAAAAGAGATATAGAACTCTTAAAATTATTTGAAAAATAAATATAGAAATATTTACGAATATATGATTTGAAAAATAAATTTATAAATATTTTATATGATTTGGAAAACAAATATAGAGATAGTTTATATGTACTGGGACTGGGACTTATAAACATACATGAAACGGACACAAAGAACACCCAGACTCAGAACAACAATTTGTAGATCACACAAAGTGTCGTCCCATGAGGGGATCGAACCCACAACACTCAAGTAGTAGTAAATGGCGTGGCGACCAGTGAGTCAGTCAGTTTATATGATATGTAAAAAAGTAATCAAAGAATTACTTAACACCGGTTTTCTAAGAGGTCGTGGCCTCCGTATCACTCCGATCGAGCTGACCGAAGCATGACTTTCCCACTAAAGATTTGTTTGTTGGTTTTTTTAATGACAACTCCCGCATTAGGAATATATATCCATACGATTTTACGAACATACATGAAATTGATGTTCTAATTATTCTTGTTCTAATTGATGTTAAAGTGGTGTCCCATTTGAGGATCGAACCCACGACCGCTTAGAAGACTACGCCATTCGTGCAGTTGCTGATCATTATTAAATTAGTGTTAGAAATAATAATAGATTAAAAGTGACAGATTAAAAAAAACGTTTTTGTGTTTCGTGTTATATCATTTTTGCTATTTGATTAAAAACAGACTTCTATCTCGTATCTAAATACCTACACACTACACAGGGCCTGACTCACCTATAAAGTTAATAAGACTATACAGCCTAGAGCGCAAGGATCAAGGGAGCGCTGAACTCTTGCCTTTGCAACCACTGGGGCACAAAGAACAAGGGGGCACTGAACTCTTACTTTTGCAAAGCACCACTTATTCAAAGAGTTTAATGTGTTAAAAAATGTGATTTAAAATTTTATATTTTACTAGATGACTCTTCGTCTTCTTCTCTTACAAGGAATATTTTTTTTTTCGTTTTTGCAACATTGTTCAGTGATACTCGGCTTCTATTGGTCGTAGCTTGACGTTGCATAGACTATATCCTTCCTCGATAAAAGGGCTATCCAACACTAAAAGATTTTTTCAATTCAAATTAGTAGTTACTGAGACTACCCCGAACATACAAACTCACAAACTTTACCTCTTTAAAAAAATTAGAGACTAAACAAACAAAGCTTGAAGCATGGTGCTAATGCTAGTAAGTAAAATCGTACACGTCAATTTGAAAAATCTTATAGTAATTTATAAAAAAAAACTGGCAGCCCTTTCAATGAGCGGTGCGACGTCAAAGAGATCGTTTTCTACGCTAAGGCGTGTAAAAACTTGGTTGAAAGCAAACATGTTAGGAGAGAGGCTGACGGGTTTAGCTCTTCAAGCCATTCATCACGAGAAGACCCCAGCGTCTCACATATTGTCACCCGACTTTTATCACCTTTTACCTTTATCTTCCGACTTTTATCTTTTTATAAGTTTTTATAGACGTGTCTGTGTGTGTGTCTGGCTGTGGCATCCTAGCTGCCGAACGGATAAACCGATTTTGTTTTTTTTTGTTTGAATGGTGAATTAATCAACAGTGTTCTTAGCTATGTTTAATAAAAATCGGTCCAAGATTTCTGCCGCCACAAAATTGCGGTTTACATATTTTTTCACAACTAACTCAATGATCAAATGAAAAGGCTTGACTCGAAGAATACTATACACTATGACAGATTTCTAATCCAAGATGGAAATTTTAATTTAATTTATTATTAGTGACCCCATCCAAAATTGCAGAATACCACGGCGCCTGAGTAACTGTATCACATTATTAAATCCGCATCACCTATTGCGCGATCTCAATGGGAATGAACGGACCCAGCAGAGGGCTACTATACGCCCACGTTTTTAATCCTGTCAAATTATTTTATCACATGTGGTTGGCAAGGTTTTTTCGACTTTCTTTGCTGGTAGGCTACAGAAGTTATTCTCGAGATCAATTTTTTTATAAGGAATAAGGGGTAGACGAATACAAAGGTCAGCTAATGCTCAGTAACTACCGCCGTTCATGGACACCTGCAATAGGAATTAGAGAATCGTCATTCGGTAAGCTCACTTGGTGAAAAACTACTAAAGATTTGCTAAACACCGGTTTTCTGGGACGTTGTGGTATCACCTCGGTCAAGTGGGTCGATATGTGCCGAGACAAGATTGAGAGACAATTTAGAAATGATTGTCTTGGTCAATGTTCGTAATGTACTTTTAAAACAGACGAAATCCCTGGGTGCTATGATTATGTAATGTTTTGTAGGGTTAGTACTATATTATACCTGTTGTCTGTCTGTTGTAAATGGTTGATTTAGATCTGTTTGTATTGTTTATAGAGATTGTTAACTTTTGTGCTTGTTTACTTGCCTACTATATTACATATTATGTGTTTTGTATTATTATTCTTCAGTTAAACTTGTCTTTTTCTCACAAATCCAACCGTTTGGAGTGCATCAAAAACTTCAGTTTAAAACCTGTTCTGCGTTTGTTTTGACTACACTGCGATAACTTTTTTCCTTATTCTGCTAGTGAAAAAAAAAAACATTCTTGCTCACTTTACATCTATTACGTATTATACTAGAGACAACTTTAGCGTCTGTGGTGGATAGTCGAATACGATGGTGTTTTTTAATAGAACCTCAAGTGTTTTTTTTTTATAGTAATCATATTTTTTTACGACGGTGTATAAACTGTACATCAGTTCTGTCTTCACTTTATTTTTTTTGACAAAAACTATAATGCCTTCATGGTTAAACTTCAGAGGCAGTAACTATCACATGTCACGTTCGATGAACATAAAGCTAGAAGTATTTTCTAAAGTTATACATGTATGTTATACAGAATATCACTCGCAAGTTACTAATAGGCGTAGATGAAGTATGGGCCTCATAACTGCCCCACTTGCTGGTTAATGCCGATAATCCTAAGCCATAGACGTTTTGAAAGAATCTCTAGAATTATTAATAATTCTAGAGATTCTTTCAAAACGTCGATGCTTAAGCATCAGAAGTCATCGGCTGAGTGTCGTCACTGCCTAGTAAACCAAATAGAAAATAATAAAATATGAACTAAAAAGATTTAATTTGAAATTTCATTTTATTGAGGATGATGTAGTTGTAAAAGACAGTTAAATTAAAAAGAAAAGCTATATCTTACTTAGCTTATAGGGAAAGTTATTGGCCTTAACAAACTCTTAGAAAGTGGATTTATAAAATCGTCTAACGACTTAATAAATCTTTTTGAAATTGAATTTGACGTCAATAGGTACGCAAGGATACATCATGAAATCCGAATGAGTGTTGGAGGTTTCGATAAAGGTGACATGATACAATAATTGCGAGAACGGTACTGTTGTCGCTTGAAAAGGTATTAAGTAGCCTTTTATCGAGAGCCGTGTTCGGTACGATTAGGTCATTACTAACAAGTAGACCTTCGTAGGTATAAAACATTTCATTCACTGTTAACGGTATATTCAATGCGTCATCCACTTTTGTCTATTATGAGACAATAGGCGAGGCATTTAAAGTTTACAGTCGCCTAAAACTTATGTGCTTATGGTATACTTACATTCAAGTATCTTGATAATAAAATTTCGAAAAATATGAACAATGGTGGCGATAATGAGAAGTCATACTGAACAAAATTAAAGCTTTATAGTTTTAGATGTTGAAAAAGCATTTGCAATTGCATTTTTATCTACGTACGTACATGTACATATACTACTCTGTGTAAAAAGTACCGGGAATATGTCAATAAAAAGACCCGCGTAAAAGAGGTCGTTCTAATTTTTTTACTGCATGTTGGTAGCACTGTACTGATTAAGCGCGCAAAATTTGAGCGGGATCTGTCATTTAATTTGTTTTAAACTACACTTTTTGTTGGTGATAGTTTTGAGTCCTCGGCGATTTTTGCAATTGAAAATATTGTTGAACAAAGAGTGTGCCTTAAATTTTGTGTTTCGAATGATATTTCTAGTGGTGAATCACTAAAAATGTTGCGAAATACCTACGGCGAATCGTGTATATCGAAAACAAGGGCTTATGAATGGTATAAGGCTTTTAAAGAAGGCCGAGAAGTAGTAGTAGACTTGCCTCGTTCTGGTATACCTTCAACCGCTACGACCAAAGAAAACATCGACAGAATCAAGAAGCTAGTGCTCGAAAATCGACGTATGAGTCTGAGAGAGTTGGCTACTGAGGTGAACATATCTTTTAAGTCCGTCCACAACATTCTCATTGACAATTTAGGCATGAAACGCGTCGTCGCTCGACTAGTTCCAAAAGAGCTTAATTTTGTTCAAAAAGCGCAGCGAAAGCATGTCGCTGAAGACATGGTTTCCCGAGCTTCTACGGATCCGACCTTTATGAAACGTATAATAACTGGCGACGAGACATGGGTTTATGAGTACGACATGCAAACAAGCCAACAGTCTTCAGAATGGCGTCTCGAAAACGAGCCGAAACCAAAAAAACCGCGGCAAAGTCGCTCCAAAATCAAGGTGATGCTGACAGTTTTTTTTGACTACCGTGGTGTGGTTCACTCCGAATTCCTTCCAGAGGGAGAAACAGTGAATAAAGAATATTATTTAGGCGTCATGAAGCGTTTGCGTGAGAGTATCCGCCGAAAACGTCCAGATTTGTGGCAACACAACTCATGGATGCTGCACCATGATAATGCAACATCACACACAGCCATTATAGTGAAAGAGTTTTTAGCGAAAAATTCAACAAAAGTTCTCGACCAAGCACCGTATTCACCTGATATGGCTCCGTCTGGCTTTTTTTTATTTCCCAAGTTAAAATTACCACTTCGAGGAAAACGTTTTGAGTCGATAGAAGCCATAAAAGAAAATTCGCTGAATGAGCTAAAGGCCATACCGCAAATAGCCTATGAAAAATGTATGGAAGAATGGGTGAAGCGGTGGAGATGTTGTATTGCAAGCGATGGGGCCTACTTTGAAGGCGATAAAATAAATTTAGATGAATTATGTGTATTTTTTGTTTTATTGACAAATTCCCGATACTTAGTACACAGAATGTATATGGGGAAAATTTGAAGGGGAACTAGATTCACTCTCGTTGGAGTAGAAAAATATGTAAGCACACTAAGCACTATTACCTGCCAACCAATAATATCAACCAGTGGCGAAACTACTGTTACTACCTACTACCTACAAAATAATTTTCAAAATCGTCGTAGGATCTAGATTCACAATTCGAATATAACTGTACTCGTATTTCTGGTCCTGTAAGTAAAAATAATTCAAAAATTAAATTAGAACGTAGATAGTTTTTTTTTAAATTGTTGTATTTATTTTTAACTATCCGGCCTTTCATAGTCGATTCAGAAAGTAGGTAAGAATGGAATCAATAACTCAAACTGTTAACTATTATTATTTAATCATAACAAGCCATTGTTAAATAAGTTTCTATATGCCTATTTTATGCAACAATCGTTGTTACGTATTCTTATTCAATTGACTTGCTATTTATTACTTTGTAGTGAAGTTAGTACCCCGAGTTCGAGAAACTATAACTTTGTTAACTTTAATATTTCCTTTGCTACCTGTGTGCAGCATCATCGTTAATAGTCTACTGCTAGACATGGGCCCCTCATTAGAAAAGAGGTTTTGGCCTATACGACACTTGCCAGACGAGTTGGTTTAGGATTTGTTTCAAGTTCAAGTCTGCGTAGTTTGCTCCCTTAGAAGTCTTCAACAGACAAGGGATGACTAGTGATAAATCATGTGCAAACACATTATGCATTGCACCTGTGAAAAAGCACTGTGACTTATGATTATGATTTTATTGAATTGAAGATTAAAAATTATGATGACGCTAGCGCCAGACTGGCATAGGGTCTAAATCTAAAAAAAAAAGTCTTTGATTAAAAGAAAATTCAATATATTTGTTCTTTTCTTTTGATGCCATTTATCTTTGTCTATGACCAAATCACAGTAGTGGTTTTTCAAAAACACAAAAGAAGAGCTTCTTAATTCGTCTGCATATTTTGTACGCAATATCTCCGTCAATTGTGGACCGATTTTCAAAATTCTTTTTGTAATTTAAAGGGTATACTCAGGTATACTCAGAGGTATATTACAACCAAATTAGGATCTGATGATGGGATCCTAGAGAAATCGAGGGAAACCCTTGGAAATTTTACAGCTTCGATAACGTGTTTTATCTTGTTTTTCTAGCTATAATGGCATTTGCTCAGCTGATATTGGTAGGATCCTTGAGCTTTAGGAGTCAGAGGATAACTTTTAAAAATCTAATCATGTATTGACCTTGTTTTATTCTTTCAAGAAATTTTTAGGTGTTGTGTTGGGTTACAGAGATATGTGCACAAGTGAGTAATTTTTAGGTGTTTGTGTTAAAACTTGTGTGTGCTTATGTTAAAGTCAATGCCAAGTCTATGTCAGCTTTACATTAGCACAATGATAATTAAGCATTCAATATAAGTCCAGTGAAACATCGCAGATTTTGCTAATTAAAAAGAACCAACCCTATTTATATTCATCCCGTGGGTGTCGTAAGAGCCGACTAAAGGAGCAAACAATGCAGGACAACAGCACTTGACACAAACCCTATATCAACCCGTCTGGCCAGCTTCGTATAGGCCAAAATAGGGCGTCTAGCCAAAATCTCCTTTCTAAGAAGAGGTCTATGTCCAGCAGTGGACTATTATGGACCGTTGATGTGATGTGAACCATTTTAATTACGTACCCAAGCTTATCAACTACTTAATAAAGCATTCAAAGTAATAATTGCATTTGAGATGTGCGTAACCCACTTTGGCTCGTTCAGCATGTTCTGTGCAACATGAAGACTTTTGCAGCTGTCGCGCCACATTCTGCCAAGGCTATCAAGTAGCTATTTGGCTTGGCACCGACTTCAAACAAACTAGAAGCTATCTATTGCTATTGTAATGTTTCCTTTTATATAGAGGGTCGCAATTTTCTAAATCTTAATAATTCTACCTATCTTTTAAACTAAAGTCGCAACTAACACCACTATAACATTCTATGTTGTCTTTTTTTTATATCTTTTACTTTTTATAGCGTTGGTGGCAAACAATCAGGTATATCACTTAATGGTAAGTGACTACCACTGCCCACGGACACCTGCAACTCAAAAGTGACAAGTGTGTTGCCAGGTTTAAAGAAAAGTTGAAGGCTTTGGAAGTGAAAACTTGTTTGAGCGCGTTGGGCATTTTTGAACAACAAACAAAAGAATGTATTTTTTGAGATGGGAAAATATCATTGACCTCTTGACACTGTTACCGTTACCAACACCTGTATACATAAGTATCTAGATGTATTTGCCCTGTTTACAAGAGAGTTGAGTTTGGGTTAAATACATTCATAATATAAATACATATGGTTTAAATATAACTATATACAGGCTGTAAGGGACATCGTAACGAATACTGAAACAGTGTATTCATATCATGATTCTGAGTCGAAAATCATTGGAATTTTGTACCAGTTTTTTTTTATAAATTTCCATTTTTAGGGTTCCGTACCTCAAAAGGTAAAAAGGAACCCTTATAAGATCACTTTCTTGTCCGTCTGTCAGTCTGTCCGTGTGTCACCACCGATTTTCTCAGGAACGGATAGAACTAGTAAGTTGAAATTTATACCAGATACTGAGGTGACTATGATCCCTATTAGGTGTATAAAAATCAAGGTCCTGGGTGAACACGATAGAAAGATATGGGTAAATTTCGATTTTCGCGCAAAACTTGTAAGTACCAAAATTCACCTCAATTTTCAACTTTTTTTATTTTTCAGAATTTCTATTTAGTTGTGCTGTAAGACCTTGCTTTTAAAAAAAAATGATAATTCTAGGTCAACCGGAAGTACAGTATAGGTTTTGGGTCGAAAACCTATGTGGTAGTTCCCGTTGACCTAGAATCACGAAATTTGACAAAAAGAAACGTCTTTCAGCACAAATAAAGGAATAATCCTAAAAAATAAAAAAGTTGAAAATTAAGATAAATTTTGGTACTTAATAATTTTCGCGAAAATCTACGTAAAATCTGGGTAGGTACGGAAGTTCGACTCGTACCTGACCGGCTTTTTTTGGTTAAAAATGATGAAAAATAATATCACAATGAGTAAATAGAATATTTTACCCAAAATAATTCAATAAATACCGCATACGGTCAAAAACTGCAATGTAAATAATCAAACCTCCATTCCGGCTGCCAACTTTTGTTAGAGTGCGTAGACTGTTTGCACGGAACACACATGTAGTTATTACTTCTGTGCAATACCTACCGGGAATGACCTTACCCTTTGACAGCTGATTGCATAAAAAGTTTAATTTAAAAATTAAAAAAAAAATAAGTTTTCACTCCCGGAGTGCCACTGTTTTCTTTTATGGAAACCTACCGCTTGCTTAACTTGAAAATATACAATGACTTTTATTCAACCCTTATTTATTTAAAAAGACAACAATAGCATTAGGAACATATCCTGTGTCGCGGGGACTTTACAAACATACATGAAAAGGACACAAAGAACACCCAGACTCAGAACAACAATTTGTGGATCACACAAAGTGTCGTCCCATGTGGGGTTTGAACCCACAACACTCGGCGTAGTAGGAAGCGGCGTGGCGACCGCCTAAACCACTACGCCATCCGTGCGGTCTATTAAATTATTAGTAACGATTATACCTATTTTACACTTGCATGACCTTTTAAATGCAGACGACTCTTCTATGAAAGTAGCAAATGATATCTTTATTATAATGATTTTTTGCATTTCGAATATAAAACCCAACTGTGGAATGACGACAGACGTAAATCAATTGTTTTATTTCATTGATGCCTGTACCATGTGTGACTTCATATTTAAACACAACTTCAGTAAGTGAACTTTAATTCAGGAATTAATTGAATGATGTTTAGGGAAATCAACAAATTCCTACCTTCTTCTCAATTTGATCGTCAATAATATTAAAATTACGAATAGCTTACAGCAATAAAATGTTATAACTCCTAGGCGCTCACCGAATAAAATATAGCATCAAGTGTCATTGCTAAAACATTAGCATTATATAAAAATAAGGAGGCATTTATTATAACTCAAATTTTCAATTATTAACTTGTGCTTAATATTGCTTTTCAATTTTCTTTACACACAATTTACACCAATTTGTCACAAAACTTCTTTTGTTGATTCTTCCTGTAAATAGTAGTAGTGTAGTAACAATTTTACAATAAAATAATTTTACACATTTCGCACACAGCTGTCTGATCCCAAATTAGGCAGGGCCTGTACTATGGTAAATACTTAAATTTCTAGCTACATGCATATCATACTCAGATACAAAACAAGTAATACTATTTTAGCCTGTCCTGGGTGGGACTCGAATCCACGATCTCTGGCTCAGCAGTCAGGATCACTAACTACCAGACCAACAGGTCCGTCGATACAAGCACCAACACAACTATTAAAATCGAGAATTAAATTTAAGTGACGCTTTGTTGTTCGATTACCTAATTGGCACAAACATAAAAAACATTATTTCTCACTAGAGACGTAAGTAATTTTTTCCCATTTTTATCAAAAACTAGCTGCACAATGCCACGCTTCACTGCATTGTTGTTGCATTAATGAGAAAAGTGGATAAAAACTGACGCGAATAATACATGAAAACAAACTTTGAAGCGGGTTGTACATCGTGTCAAAATTTGAGCTCGATCGGTGCAGATATTTTTGAGTTTTTGAAGCGTTACAAAACAACTTAACATTTTTATAGATCAGGATAGGTACAAAGAATTTGGGAGAATTTAAAAAATCTTGGTGTCATTTTAAGTTTCATAGAATCATAGAAGAATAGAAGTTTGGTAGAATCGCCGCAGCTGATGTTGATAGATTTGACAGTTAACGTCAATTCGTGTTGACTTGCAAGTTGATAAAAATATTAAAAATTACTCTAGTTTTTCAGTAGATATAGATAAGAAGATATTACCAAATTACCGATATAAATAGTCGCACAAAGTTCTGTTCGGAATTCAGATAACATGAGACACTAATTATTTATTAGCAATATAGAGTGACGTTGTAACATCATAAATTTTATTTACATAATTTCCTTTGATAAAGGTAAGCCTGTGTATAACTTATTCAAATATTATTCATGATAAACCTTTATAATTGTGCGCCAAACACAACTAGTTATTTTTACTGACGTAGTTTCTGATCGCTATTCCAAAGTTTACTTTTGTTGTTGATGTGTGTATAAATTAACTTTTTTGTTAACTAAAATTTTTCAAGTAAACCTTTTTATAATCACAAAATGTTGTTAGGTCGGATTAGTCAACTTATTTTAAGACGGTCTATTCACGTAACACCAAGATTAGCAATGGGTATCGATGGAAATACAATTTTAGCACAAAGTTTAAAGAAACAGGTGAGTGACATTCCTATTTACTTTTATCTTTTATCACATTTTCTTAAGATTAACTGCAAATAAATTCAAATATTTTTTTCATAAAATAATTAAATATTTCAATGTAAAAGATTGTAGTGAAGTCTAAACATCTGCTATACTGGGTACTTATACCAAAATCCCAACATATGTTTATTGGGTACTTATACCAAAATCCCAACTTTTAAATTAATGCGTGTTTATCTATTTGCTCAGCTGATCTCCAGATTTTTCAGAGAATTTTACTTTCAAGTAGGTAGCTGCTGTTAAAAAAAGGTACTCAAGCCACTACTAGTATTAGTAGATATTATTGTAGATATTATAATATCTACAACAACGATAATATATAATTCAAAAGAGATTTCCCTTCAGAAAAATTTGAGCTTATCTTTTTTAAATGCATTTTATGTTATTTCAATACAAGTGTGTTAAATAACAATCAAGCCAAGCACACAAATTATTGGATACTTGACACTTAAAGCGGCTATGGATTGCTTACACCAACAAGCAACACAGCGCATCACTACTCAACCAGAGTGATGCCACAGCCTCACAGAAAACTGCTTCTAAACTATTCTTTGGTTGCCATCCACCATCATTGCTAAGCCAGAGGTTGTGGGATTGATTCCCACCCAGAACAAATATTCTGTGATGAGCTTGATCATTTATACTTAGATATGTACATATTTAGAAATATATAAGTATATTTAACATTAGTCTGTTTAGCATAGCACAGTGACTAAATGACTAAATATGAATGTATCTACTCCATCAAATGCTATGTTTAATCAAACACTGTTGCTACATCATTTATCTCTATCCAAAGGTTGTCTGGTACAGATACATTTTAGCTATATTTTTTGTTTATTATTCATTATGTAAATCTATCTTTATTACAGGGGGTGGAGTATGTATTTGGAATAGTAGGTATACCTGTTATTGAGACTGCCCTTGCATTTCAATTAGCAGGTCTGAAATATGTTGGTATGCGCAATGAGCAAGCAGCATGCTATGCAGCACAGGCAGTTGGATATCTCACAGGTAAACATGTTATATCAAATTGTATCTACAAATATGTTTGCCAAACAGGGAGCAATCTAGTTCTAGAATTATGGTTGTCAAAAATTGGTTTGGTACATCACCAGAAAAGAAAGAATCTCTGCAGCTTATTCAATATAAAAGTACCAAAGTATATCGATGTAGCAACTAGCCAGGCTTATGCCTGGTTTAGTTTAGGGTTTTTAACTATGAAGGAATACAAAATAGCCCATGACAGAACTTAGCTTCAAATAAAATCTACATAGACAGATACAATGTGAAACGAGTAATAACTATTTTATACTAGCTGCGTCCTGCGGTATTACACGCGGCTGTTGTTGTACCTTACTCATCCCATGGAAACACTAATTTTTTTGGGTTTCGGTATACAAAGTAGCCTATGTGCTATTCCAGGCTACAATCATCATCATCCGTTCAACCGCTTTTGCGTGAAACAAACATCCAAACAAACTTTAGCCTGCGTAATATTAAGTAAGATACATACTATAAACAAACATTCAGAACAATGAGCAAAGTATTGAACCCGCAACCTATGACGTTGTTGTCGAATGCGCTAATGCCGTGCGAGGTAATTCATTCATTGAGTTAAACAACAGTGTAATATAATAGATCAATGAGTTCACCGATATGTTTCAAAGAAAGAATCGTTTCTAAATCTTTGTGTTTTGTTACTTACTTCGGTGATTTTCGTATTAAAATAATAGCCATCATGCTGTGTAGTACAGTAACCGACTTTCGTTTAATTATAGTATACCTGCTAGCTATTTAAAACAAACTAACTGAAAATTCGTACAATTTGGAAATACCGCTGCGCAAATAACACGAAACATTAACGTCGTGTACGGGCCTAACACTACTTGCATACAAGGTCCATCATTGGTACAATCGTTTTAGATCTGGAAATTTGGAGTTGAAGAACGAGCCTCGCGGTCGGCGAGTAACTATAGTCGAATGCACGCATTGAAGGCGATAGTGGAAGCGCATCCAACTCAATCTACGACTGAGCTTTGGAGTTAGTGTCAAAACAACATTGAAACACTTGTGTCAAATAGGCAAGCTACGTAAGTGGGTGCCACACAAACTAAGTACTAGCACTACTGAATCGGCATAGAAATAAGGGAATTCTGAATCAAATTGTTACCTGCTATGAAAATTGGATCCTGGAGGAAACCGTAAGCGTTCAACATAATGGATGGACCCGGGTACAACAACTAATAAGTGCGCTTAAAATAAGGTTACCCATAGAAAGATGATGGTGACTGTCTGGTGGGCCAGTGCCTTGTACATAACAGCTTCTCAACGCATGGCACAACAGTGACGCCAGATGTCAATTGCCAAGATTTGCAAACAATGATAGAGAAGCTCGCAATACAACAACCACGAGTGGTTAATCACTCTTCTCCACGACAACGCGCGAGCTCACCCTTCACGACACACCGTGCCAAAGCTACAAAAGTTACGGCTGGAAGCTCTCCATCACCCAGCGTACTCACCGGAATTGCCACAAAAGATTTCTACTTCTTTGAAATTTAGACAATTGAGGTGATAAAACAATTCAACACCCGAGAGGCAGTACAAACGCTTTCTCCTACTTTATCGTCCTCCGTCCAGCAGACTTCTACAGTAAACGGATAAACAAAGTGCCATCAAAATGGCAAAATTGTATTGATAATTTAGGCCAGTACTTTGAATACCAAAAAAAAAAAACAAAATTTTTATACAAATTTTCAACTTCATAGGTAAAGACCTAATATAATGTTACAAACACGTGCTATTTAAAACAGTTCTGTACCGAAATCAAAAAGATAAAACAATATTTTTAGGGACTAAAGTTGATAGTAAGATTATGAGCTTACCCTTTGTAAATATCAGCAAGCATGGTCGAAGATAACATGATTATACTATCTTCGGCTTTTATGATTAATTATTATCTTACTCGATATGTTACTGACCACCGAACCTGTTGTCTTACTATGAAAAGTTATTTTAGTTACAAAATAATACAATGAATTTATCAATTATATTATTTTGATTAGATGACAATGTTGTGAAATTATAGACTACTTAATTTCCTTCACTGATTCCACGTCAACACGAGTTCATAAATTAAATTTTTCATCTGAAAAACTCGATCCTGTAGCGGTTTTTTTTCAATTTGTAACAATAAGGTAGACTGAAAATAATATTGCTATTTATAAATAAACATTTTTTTTACTTTTACAAGTACCCTTTTTGACTTTGAAGTATGTGTAAGGAGGTATGTTCCACGAAATATTCCTCTTATAATAACTGCTTACTCTCTTCTCAGTTCTTTACTTTATATAGCAGCATATAGCAGCCATTCTCCAGTGCCAAAGTAAAGGAAGTACCTATGTCTTTATTACACTTCTTTCACAGGCAAACCAGGAGTATGTCTTGCAGTATCTGGTCCTGGTCTACTCCACTGCATTGGAGGTATGGCCAATGCACAGGTTAATTGCTGGCCTCTTATAGTCATCGCGGGCTCCTGCCCTCAGGACCATGAAGGTATCGGCGGCTTCCAGGAATGGCCACAGGTAATACCTTGATATTTTTATAGAATTAAAATGGTTGAACCCCTAGGTATATTTTTAATGAAATTATGCGGAAGGCCCAAAAACCATGTCTCTATTTTGCCCGACATAGTCCTGAAGTTGGAATTAATTATTTCGGTTTGGTTTCCGAGAACCGAAGCCCCCCAAATTTCAACACATCCGTACATCGTACTATCCAAAACATCCTTTGAAGGAGAGCAAAGCAATCGCAACGTACGTACGGGTTACACAACATGTTTGTGTTGCCGACATAGGTTAGCCATGTATACACTAGGTTAACTACAGCCTCAGTTAGACAATTTCTACCTCACAGCGCCTAAACTCTAATCATTCTTCTCTTGTGGAATAAAGATCAACAGGTTAAACAAGCCCACTGTTCCGCAAAAATGAACAAGGAAAATAGACAAAATAAATCAAGGACCATTTATGTTCATTCTTTTGCTTTTATTACTGCTGACTTAGGAATTGCTATAACGTTGTAAAAAGTCAAAAACAAACGAAATAAATAAAATAAGACAAAGAAAAACTTTATAAATTAAGTTACTCGTGGATTTTTTAATAACAATTGCCGCAATAGAACGACTAAGAACAAAATAGCGTCAAATTAAAAAATATTACGTCAGTTTAATTGTGTGACAATATTATGGTATTTTAATTTTATTGTTATATAGAATAGAAGTCTATACCCATACAATAGGCTACATAGTGTATGTTAGCTTCATGTTTAACATTTCAATACACATAAACACATATGCACACATAATTTATTGTCCTACCTACTAGCAGTTCAATGCCAAATAGTAGTACTCGTAGGTACCATTCACTTTCGCATATGTTATGCTCTAATGACTAAAAATAATTAGAAGGTCTTATTTGCTTAGCGATGGACACTGACTGGCCATTTCATCACTAAAATGGGGCTCAACAAGTACCTACTATCTTACTATATCTTCTATCAAACATACCATAGGTATCTCGGCACTCTATAGTGTTAATATTACCTACATTAAATATGCTATGCTAATAATAAACCAGACTGAACAATGCATATGTAAATTTAAGTTAGGGAGGTACCACAACGCAGCGTATGTCAGACTCATGTTACGTGTTGCACTTATTAAAACTAGCAAAAATATATATTTTTGCTAGTCTTACTTAATACTATAAACTATAAATATATATTCCCTCTCCTCCTATAAATATTTAACTGTAATATATAAACTACTTGTGTGGAATGAGATTTATAGTATCTAATGAATTGGTACAAATAATAAAATGTGCATATATGGTTGCAAGTAAAATACCTTTTCCCTTACTACCGGGGTGTGAGGGGCGAACCACCATCTTTCGCCCCAAGCCAACCTCACCTGCCCGCGGTGCATCCTGCTGAATGACGAACGAGGCTCTGGCGACCGACCGATGGCGGTATATCCATCCCAATAGGCGTAGCTAAATACAACAGGCCGGTGACGGGCAGCAGCGTTACCGGTGCGACAAGCTACGCCCTGCGATCGCCAACCCGCCTGCCCAGCGTGGCGATTATGGACAAACCCTCCCCATGCAGACGCAACAAAGGCCACGGCCCCCAGTTCCCGGCGGCCCCGCTATTCCTGGTCATGGTGGCGACCACGGTAAAGGCGGGGCAGGGGGTGCGAAGAATCTCCGGGCTACGGGAGGCCACCACGACCGACTGACCCTGGCTACGTACAACGGACGCACGCTACGGCTAGACTCGCATCTGGCACAACTTGAGGTGGAACTTGGGAAGATTAGGTGGCATATCATAGGGCTATGTGAAGTCCGAAGAGAGGGGGAGGACACCATAACCCTCGAGTCAGGCCACCTAATGTACTTCCGCGAGGGAGACCAACAATCCCAAGGTGGCGTTGGGTTTCTGGTAAATAAGCCCCTATCTGACAACGTTGTGGAAATTTCCAGTGTGTCGAACAGGGTAGCGTACCTCATTATCAAGCTCACCGAGAGGTATAGCCTCAAGGTTGTTCAAGTGTACGCACCGACCTCGGCACACTCGGACGACGAGGTGGAGGATATGTACGATGACATATCGAGGGCCCTCCACTTCACAACTAAGACCCACTACAACACTGTTATGGGTGACTTCAACGCTAAAGTGGGTGTACAGAATTGCGGCGAATCAGTAGTAGGATCCCATGGATTTGGAAGCAGGAATCATAGGGGGCAAATGCTGGTCAACTTCCTCGAACGGGAGGGGCTCTTTTTGATGAACTCTTTCTTCAAGAAACAGCCCCAAAGGAAGTGGACGTGGCAAAGCCCCGACGCTATGACCAAAAATAAGATCGATTTCATCATGACGGATAGAAAGCACATATGCAGAGACGTCTCAGTGATCAATAGGTTTAATACTGGTAGTGATCACCGACTTGTCCGGGGCTCTCTGAATATCAACTTTAAGGCGAAACGTGTCTGTTTGATGAAATCCAGGCTCCGACCGACTCTGCTCCAAGCCATGACAGGATCTGAAACGTTCCAGTCAAAACTTGAAAACCGATTCGCTGCCGTGGAAACCACATTCGACGTAAACCAGAACCTCGAAAATGTGGTTCGGATCCTCAGGGAAGAAGGTACGAGATTTTGTGAAATGCAGCGTAAGGGCAGGAAGTCGAAGCTTTCAGAAGGGACCCTAGGGCTGATGAAGAAACGACGTGAAAACCCACCTGTCACTTTGTCGGCAAAGCGGACTCTAAACCGAGAGATCAGTAAACTCGTACGACACGACCTCCGGTGCTCCAATACTCTTTCAATTGAAAGAGCGATCGAGCAAAATCGGGGGTCAAAAGTGTTCGTACAATCTCTTGGAAGAAGCCACCTGACAAAGTTGACCACAGAAAGTGGAGAAGTCGTTGCTTCGAAGCCGGCAGTCCTTTTGGAAGTGGAAAGCTTCTATGGCCGGTTATACGCTTCCCATGCATCTCGACCTGATCCCGAAAATGAGGACTCTAGAGCCACATTAACACGTCACTACACCGAAGACCTGCCAGAAGTTAGCATTGACGAAATCGAGATGGCTCTTGGACAGCTGAAAAATGGAAAAGCCCCTGGAGAGGACGGCGTTACAACATAGCTGCTAAAGGCCGGGGGTAAACCTGTACTAAGGGAGCTCCAAAAGCTCTTCAACGCTGTCCTGTTTGAAGGGAGAACTCCGGAAGCGTGGAGTAGGAGTGTGGTCGTCTTGTTCTTCAAAAAGGGTGACAAGACCAGGTTGAAGAACTATCGACCCATATCCCTTCTAAGCCACATCTACAAGCTGTTTTCGAGAGTCATCACGAACCGTCTTGCGCAAAGACTCGACGAATTCCAACCACCGGAGCAAGCTGGGTTTCGGAGCGGATATGGCACCATAGACCACATCCACACAGTGCGGCAGATTATACAGAAGACCGAAGAATATAATCAGCCCCTGTGTCTAGCATTCGTGGACTATGAGAAAGCCTTTGACTCGATCGAGATCTGGTCTGTTCTGGAATCCCTGCAACGTTGCCAAGTAGATTGGCGATACATCCAAGTGATGAGATGTCTCTACAAAGCCGCCACCATGTCCGACAAGTTCAGAATCAGCAAACAAGGCCCGTACCATTGCATCGAGGAGTGAGACAAGGGGACGTTATTTCCCCGAAATTGTTCACAAATGCAATGGAGGACATGTTCAAGACGCTGCACTGGAAAGGGCGTGGCATCAATATCAATGGCGAATACATCTCTCACTTGCGATTTGCAGACGACATCGTCATCATGGCAGAGACGTTGCAGGACCTACAGCAAATGCTGAATGACCTAGCTGACGCTTCTGTACGCATCGGCCTACGGATGAACTTGGATTAAACCAAGATCATGTTCAACGAACATGTACTACCGGAACCGATTGCGGTACACGGTGCCGTTCTCGAAGTTGTTCAAAATTATGTGTACCTCGGGTAAACATTGCAGTTAGGTAGAAACAACTTCGAGGACTAGGTGAACAGAAGAATTCGGTTGGGTTGGGCAGCGTTTGGGAAGCTACGTCGAGTCTTCTCATCGTCGATCCCACAGTGCCTTAAGACGAAAGTCTTTAATGAGTGCGTCCTACCCGTCATGACATACGGAGCTGAAACGTGGACACTTACGGTACGGCTGGTCCACAAGTTCAAAGTCGCTCAACGTGCTATGGAAAGGGCTATGCTCGGCGTTTCTCTAAGGGATCGCATCAGAAATAAGGTGATCCGGCAAAGAACCAAGGTCACCGACATAGCCTACCGGATCAGCAAGCTAAAGTGGCAGTGGGCTGTTCATATTAGCCGCAGAACCGACAACCGTTGGGGAAAACGAGTTCTTGAGTGGAGACCGCGTCTTGGTAAACGTAGTGTAGGACGCCCACAGGCCAGGTGGAGTGACGATTTGCGCAAGATGGCTGGCAGGAGCTGGATGCGAGAAGCCCAAAATCGATCTAAGTGGCGTGCAATGGGAGAGGCCTATGTCCAGCAGTGGACTGCGATAGGCTGATGATGTTACTACCGTCGCAGTTTACACTGCAGCTCACCTGATAGTAAGTGGCACCTACCTCTTAGCATTGCCGCTAAGAAACATAGCCATGTTGTTTCTATAAAAAGACAACCTCCAGAAAACGGTCAGGAAATAAAAAGAAATTATTAGTCCCGTCGCACTCCCGCGTGACACTCCGCTGGGGTTATTGATTTATACATAATTTAATTGTTGCCATTTTTGAACTACGATGAAACAGCTATCACATCATCACATCAACAGCCTTTACTAGTCCACTGCTGGACATAGGCCTCTCCTTAGAAAGGAGGTAAAACAGCTATGATATATGTATAATATCTAAATATTATCTTTATGATATCACGTGAATTAGGAGATATGGAAGGTGCCGAAGTACCTAAAATGGCGTTTATATTCCTTTCCTAATTACAGTTTTTTTATTAGATAATACTAATTTACACTATCTATATATATATGATATTCAAATATATTTTAGTCAGCAGTCAGTATGTGTAACATGAACTGTCATTGTATAGCCAAAAATATACTGGCCGCTTCTAGCTTGACGCAACCGTTTTTACGTAATAATCGTGGGAGAGCCATGCTACGGCGCATATGGGCCGGCGCCACCGGAGTGATACCTCAGCCCCGTAGAAAACCTAACCTTCCATTGTCGCATTACACTGCATACCTACACTATAAAATGCAACTTTTTTATATTATTCAGTGCTAATAACATGGCTCAATCACATTACTTGTTATGTACTGACTATTCAACATTTATAGTAATTGCAAAGTTTAAAACGAGCGTTAAATGCGTTTTTATTTTATTTAGTGTAAATTACCCTTAATTCAAATATTATTTTCATAAATCTAAATGTGATTGTTCTACCATATTAGTACCTGCTTATCCCTTACATTTATTTGAAATGATTTTATAAAATTGTTTTTAATATTTGTGTCGGTATATTTTTCTTGCCTGATCTTATTGTTATTTGCCTCTGAATGTTAAAATTATCGCTCACATACACATACAAGTTCGAACTAATTTGTGTCGTGCTATAGGTGGAGTCTAGCCGACTTTACTGTAAATATGCAGTTCGCCCCCCCCTCACCGCGACTCATCCCTCTGCATGTTGAGAAAGCTGTCCGTCTCGCCTCTTCGGGGAGACCTGGAGTAGCCTATATTGACATGCCTGGAACTTTGCTAATGGTAATATACTAAGATTGATTTAAAATAATAAAAAACAAGTAGTATTTCCACAATAATAAAAACGAACTAAGTAATTAACGAACTAAGCAAGAAATGCTCACCTCTACTTCTATTCGAGGTTTTGCTTTATTCATAAAGATTATTTTATTCTCATAGACGCTCACTCTTTAATGTCTTAATGAATATGTAGCTTACAACCTATTTTTTGATAAATATGTAGATGTGTTCCAAAAGAACGAAGGCATAATATGCATAATAATATAATTAGAAAACATTTGCTATCATGGTATTTATCATATTTTCAGGCTGAAGCCGAGGAAGATCAAGTTCCAATAGACTATTACAATGCTGATCCCGTGCGACTGGCACACCCCGACCCGGCGCTGGTAGAGCAGGCAGCAAGCGTGCTGGCCAAGGCTGAGAGGCCGCTCATCATTGTCGGCAAAGGGGCTGCGTATGGTCGTGCTGAGGATGCCATCTGCAGGCTAGTTAACAACACTAAGATCCCGGTCTTACCTACTCCCATGGGTAAGACAAAATTTTATTGATAAATTCAAAATAAATATGTTATATACATAATGAATGTTAAAAAAATTAATACAAAATAGTATAATATTCTTGGTCAAGTTTTTAATTAACTGATAAAAATTTGATTAATTCCATCGATCGTCACAGGCAGGGGGTTCGTTGAATGAAAAAACAATTTTGTGTTTCCTTTATGTAGCTTTTTCACTTCTATTACAAATTAAGTTACACTGGCCTTAGCAATAGTGTTGTTCTCTTTTCGGCCACTAAGACAGAAATCAGTTAGCAGTGATTACCTTTTTTTCATAATAGACGATTATTACATAATTATGCATATTTACTTGATGGATTTACCAACTGATCCAAAGGATATGCAGAATATATCATAGAATCTGCTGTCCCGAACGGTGACGCAGTAACTTAAATCAGTAGTGAAATAGAATAAAAAGAGCTTACCCTAGAGGAATTCCAAAGTCATTTTGATTTACTTTTGTTGTCGAATTATGTGTTAAAGATGCGAACACAACGTCACGATGACCGTAGTGTGATCGTAGTGACGAAGTTGGACGTCTGTTATTTTTTCTCCATGCGATTAACTACTAATATGGGAACGCTCAGTACGTATCTGTTAGTTTATTATTTTACTTTATTTTAGAGTATAGGACTAACCATCCCTTTCGGTGTTTTGAACGAGACAGTAATGACAGTAATAATGTCATCGGCATTCTTTATTAATGCTGCTGCTATTATGCTCTATTATACATCTAGATGTATGCCTTGCTGAGATAAACCCGAAGTCTGGCATATCATTTCTGTTAAACAGGCAAAGGCGTAGTCCCCGACGAGTCGGAGTTCTGCGTATCGACGGCGCGTACACAAGCGCTGCTGAAGGCTGACGTCATCTTGCTGCTGGGTGCGCGACTCAACTGGATGCTGCACTTCGGACAAACGCCCAGGTTCGCGCCCGATGTCAAAGTTATACAGGTGTGACCTATTAAGTATATAAATTAGCCATCATTACAACCGGACCATAAACTTAAATTTACGACACGACATATCTCGCGTTAATGTTTATGTTAATCAATATACATTCAGACAAAAAAGTATCGGGAATGGATTATTTGTTTATGGTTCCAAACTCAAATTTTTGATTTTTTCGTTGTTGTTAGATTGACACAACTGTTTCCCATTTTGGCACGGAGTTTATGTTGCATCTGTTATTTATATTAAATACAGTGCTGTTTTTAGTTATATCATATCTAGTATGTATTGCAAATTTCATAATGGACAAAAACATCGAACAAAGAGTTTGTCTTAAATTTTGCATCGCCAATGGAATTTTGTGTTCGGAGTCACTGAAAATGTAACAGAAGGTTTACGGTGAATCGACTTAATCATAAACACGTGTTTATAAGTGGTACAAAGCGTTCAAAAGCGGTCGAGATCTGATGGAAGATTTGCCTCGCTCTGGTAGACCATCAACGTCTGCAACTGAAGTTAACATCGGAAAAGCAAAGGAAATAGTAACTGAAAATCCTCATTCAATTTTGAGAGAGATAGGCGCCAAACTTTCTGTATCTCACGAGTCGATCCGTAACATTTTAACTAATCATTTGGGTATGAAACATGTTACCGCTCGGCTAGACCTGAATTTTCTCCAAAAACCAACCCCAGACCCAACATTCATGAAACGCATTATTACTGGTGACGAGACGTGAGTTTACGAGTTTGACATGCGAACTAGTCAACAAGCTTCGGAGTGGCGCCTTCCAACTGAACCGAAACCGAAAAAACCACGCCAAAGTCGATCAAAAGTCAGTCATGTTGACTGTTTTCGTTGACTATCGCGGTGTTTGTGCACTCGAAATTCTTGGTCTTACACCAAGAATTTCATCAAACGGTAAGTAAAGAATATTATTTGAGCGTTACGCGGCATTTAAGAGGGCAAATTCGACGAAAAAGGCCAGATTTGTGGAAAGAAAATTCTTGGATTTTGCACCACGATAATGCGCCTTCGCACAAGGCCATTATTATAAACGAATTTTTGACCAAACACTCAACAAATACCATTGAGCAACCACCATATTCACCAGATAAGGCTCCAGCCGACTTCTTTCTTTTCCTAAACTTAAATTACCACTTCGTGGCACCCGTTTTCAATCGGTAGAAGACATAAAGGAGAATTCGCGGCGAGAACAGAACTCAATTCCGGAAACAGCGTTTAAAAAATGTTTTGATGATTGGATTATTCGTTGGCGTAAGTGTATCGTTTCGGAAGGAGCATACTTTGGACACGGTACTATTATAATACAGTACTGCAACTTCATACAAACGGACGAAACGGGAGCTATACCTACGCGCCTCGATCTCGGGGTGCGCTCGGGGCGCAGACAGTCACGGCTGTACCGCAGTGTCGAACGGACTGCGTGTTGTTTTTTTAACAATAACCGCGCGATTTTTTCTCTAAAAATCAGTTAATATGACGAGTAGGAAATATTGTGCTGTTTTTGGTTGTATGAATTCGTCAATAACGCATCCAGACATAAGTTTTTTTAAATTACCTGGAAACTCTGAAAAGTAAGACTATAAAATAATTTTACTTACTAGTACGTAGGTACATAATGTGTGTCTTTTTAATGGATAAGTATTTCCTTTTATCTCACGAAAAAAAAGGTGTTTGGATGAATAAATAAAGCAAATAGAGTAACGGAAAGTTATTGAGACGAGTGAAATAGGGAGTTACATGCGGTTCTGAATGAATCATGATACGGTAGGTACCTACCTACTTACGCTTGTGTTAAAACTTCGGTGCATGTTTGTTTTGTTACTTTGCATAATTCAAAAAAAAGAAAATTCTACTTAAAGACGTGGTATTTTATTATTAATAATATATCTTTATTATCTGTGTGTATGAATAATACTAAAAAAAAATTGTTACCGTCTGTGTGTCATTAGACAGTTTTCGAAATTTTCACAAAGTGTTTCTGCTGCTACTATAACAACATATACCACTAAAAACTGGTTTTATTTTCTCGGTATTAACAACAACAGCTAGACTCATATATAATATTTAGATGTTTGAGGGTTGTGATTTTAAAACATTCGTAGTCAGCTGTTCAGCTTTTTAATAATTAATTAATTGGTGACCAAAGAATTTTTGTTTTGAGTTGTTGCGAGTTGTAGGTTATAGGTTAGGTAATTTATAGAGACGTTAATTAGCTGAGATAAAAAGTTACTTACTCGTCAGCTGTTTCTTGCATTCTAGTTGAGTAGGTGGTAGGTGTTGGAGTTTCTAAGGATTGGAGTTTTGTAACGCGTATGGAGAAAGCACATTTATTTTATTTTATAGAAGGATTTTTTTCGGTCGCTAATTTATAAGCTCGATTGGTTTTTCAAACAAAAAAATGTTTTTTAATTAAATCTACCAATCAAAAAACAACACGCATTTTTATTGAACAATTCCTATTCAATATACAAAGTATTTCATTTATTCATATAAAAAGGATATTTACAATCACAAATCTAAATAGAAACAGAAAGTAGGCAAATATAATTAAAATGCTGGAGACGGGCAGCCCTAACGCATGTTTAAGTACCGCGCGGCTGTAGGCATTTATTTCTATCATGCGGCCGAGTTACAATACTGTATTATAATTGTACCGTGCTTTGGAGGTGATAAAATAAATTTGGATGAATAACAAACATGTTGTGTATTATTGATCTTTTCCCGGTACTTTCTTGACAGAGTAGTATCTCTCGCGAACGAAACTTTTGTCTGGATGAAGGGCATGATATTCTGTATTTTCCTTCAGATACCTCTATGCAAACTACTGCATGGGAAAATGTGTCTAATAATTTGATGTCGGTTTTGACGCCTCAAAATCGCAATTATAAAATTAATTGGCAGAATTAAGGTTAACTGTAACACTACAATTGTAAATTAAAAAATATGTTTCCTAATAAATTTTACTATATATTTATAAATATCGTTTGGGCATAGTTCGCCAGTAGGACATTTCTAAACCCATAACTTTTGAGAAATTCTATAATAATACAGGACCTGAAAAGGTCTCCATAACATTTTATACGCGTTTTCCTACGAGTCTCAGAATGAATAATGCAATATTAAACAGTTTTTATTCAACCTCACCCTCAAATGATTATGAAGGTCCCTTTCAGATAACTGATAGGCACATAACTATCTTTAAAATGCGAATCAAATCGCATGATTATTTAAATCGAATTCTAAACAACATTGGAGCCTGGCTGGTTATATCAAGTGTTTATTCAGTATTTACATTTTTACTGTATTCCAGGTGGACATTTCTCCTGAAGAATTCCACAACAGCATCAAGTCTGAGGTAGCGGTCCACTCTGACATCAAACCATTCACCGAAGCACTTATCCAAAAACTGGCCGAGAAAAAGGTTGCACTCCAGCCGAACAGCAATGACTGGTGGCAAGCACTGAAGCAGAAACAGAAGGCTAATACTGAATTTGTTCTGGTATTTACATATTTATATTTTTATTTTTTTGTCCTTGCAATGCCTAAGTGCTTACAATAGAGAATACTTCTATCTATTTAAAATTATCAAAAGTTCTGATATCCAGCTATCCTAACTGGTTTATAAAGATAAACAAGGTAGACTGGCAGAGAATGCCTACGGCATTACGTCAATATTTGTATAAAGTATTAAATCAATAAACAGTTTTACTCACGTGTGTATGGCAAAGAAGTTTTGGACCCAATGGCGGCTCTTTCTCGGGGACTGTAACTACTTCCGCAACAGTGTCGGGCGTCACACTGGGCTCACAAACTCACGTGACTTTAATGAGTAAAACCATTTATTTTTAATAAATATGAATAGTAATACTACTAATGAAGGATATTATTGTTTTGCTCTACTGATGTTGCTTTACAAGCCGAGCCACACTTTTTGAAGGGCCTGTTAGTCTAGTGGTTATTGACCCTGACTGCTGCCTGAGGTCATGGATTCCCACCCAGGACAAATAACTCTGTGATGAGCACGATCATTTGTTCTGTATATCGGTGTTATTTATCTATAATATAAATGAATTTGGAAATATTTAAGGATGTGTATCAGCAGTCTGGTTACCATAACAAAGGCTCTGCCTACAAAAAAAAAATCACCGATATTGAAAAGGCCTTATTAGACCATTTAGTAACCAAAGTATTTTCTGTTTCATTAGGCACAATCGAACGATAAGTCGGTACCTCTTAACTACTACGCGGTATTTAAGGCGGTGCAGGCAAATATTCCTAAAGACTCTATCATTGTGAGCGAAGGAGCTAACACCATGGACATCGGACGAGGTCTGTTGCTCAACAACAAGCCACGGCATAGACTAGATGCTGGCACTTTTGGTACAATGGGGGTAAGTTATCATCAAATTTACTTATCTGGCAAAGAATACATTACAACAGAAAATCTAGCTGATATAAGATGTACCTGTATGTATACATTTTAATCACAATTGCAAAGATTTCCGACGGTTCAATTAACATCTTGTAAGTTCAATTCAATCCATTTTTTTTAATCTAAACTCAGAAAGCCTATATGTGCAAAAAGATCCAATTTTTTTGTTTTAATAGCTCAGCGTATATAGTAAAGGTGTTGAAAATTATTATATTTGATCATTTTGAAAGTACTGACTAACTAAAACCTTATAACAACCGTTACGTATACATTTTGGTACTACTCACTTTATAAAAAAAAAACATCATATGAAGTGCTACTACAAAAATAATTTCCTAATTAAGAAATTGTTATGTTTTTAGGTTGGCCCTGGTTTCGCCATCGCGGCAGCAATGTGGTGTCGTGATTACGCTCCTGAAAAACGCGTCATCTGCGTTGAAGGAGATTCAGCCTTTGGATTCTCTGGTACGCCAACCTTAAAGAAATACGTGTTAAAAAGTGTCTTCAATTTTTATACTATACAAGTACAATGCAAAGATTACATTAACATAACTTTTTCCAAATCACTCAATGGATCGGTTTGGTTACCCTTGTTATTTAATTATTAAACTTTTCTTAATTATGTACGCAACAACAATAACAATATGACTATTCTAATGTTTAGTGAACTCAGAGATCATAAGTTCAATTTTCATCAAGGACCAAGGCGTTTTCTATGTTTAAAATGCATATATTTACAAAAACAAGAGTATATAATTATTCTATCAGTCAATCTAGCTTTCATAGTACAAACTCTGCTTAGTTTGAAATTAGGTGGCGTTGTGTGTCAGATGTCCGAAAATATTGTTATTATTAGATTGAATATTATATTAAACAGAAATAAGTATGTTTATAAGCAGTCTGGTCACTAGATTGCAGGCTTTGCGTGCTTTGGGATCAGTTGTCTTAGCCGTGTGTGCGAAGTGATTATTATTACTATCAACTCACATTTCGGACATTTACCTACAGATATTAACGTGTTTATTATGTTTTACTCAAATCAAATAAATGTTAATAACAATATTTTCAACCGACTATGTTCCATTGTTTGTATTTTTTATGTATGTTCACTGATTACTCTGTCAATTGTTGACCGATTTTCAAAGTATTATTTTTACAGGAATGGAAATTGAAACAATGTTCCGGTACAAGTTACCTGTTATAATCGTCATAGTAAATAACAATGGTATCTACAGTGGCTTTAATAAAGAAGTTATGCAAGACCTGCAATCTGGCGGCGATGTTACTCAATGGTAAATCATTATAGCCCTTTTTAAAGAAATGTGATGCACGGCAGTATTTCATATTTGAAATATTTAAAGTTTATATGTGGAAAAATTGCAGAAAGCTATAGTTTTTAAATAATATGTGCTATAAAGTTAGAAAACAGCTACATAAATCTATAGGTCTGATATCCGGTAGATATATAGATCTGTCATGGTATAAAAGTCTATACAACAACGCTTCAAGTTACACTGATTAATAAAATAACAAATACATTTAAAACGGCCGAAATCGACGGCCAAGCGATCTCTAATAAACATAAAAAAAATTACCCTTATATAAAAAAAAAACAATATCATACTACAGGTATTTCTCTAAATATGTGTGTCTCTTCCTTGGGACAAAGAACATATCATTAATCTATCACCTTTTATACAGCACACCACCCACGGCTTTAAGTGTTGAAGTCAGATATGAAAAAATGATGGAAATATTTGGTGAGAGTGGACATCTTTGCCGCACAGTGGAAGAAATTGAAGCTGCCGTCAAGAAGGCTTTGTCAGTCACAGATAAACCTAGCATTATCAACATATTGATTGATCCACAATCCAACAGGAAACCACAGACTTTCAGTTGGTTAACTGAATCAAAACTATAAAAATGGCACCTTTTTTCTACTAAAGTATAGGTACTATAGAATCTAAGTGAAGAAAATTCTATAGTTAGTAGCATCTGTTAAACAAAGAGTACAAATGAAATGAAATGAATACAAATACAGATGTTATATACTTAAATAGAATAGTGTGTAATTACTTTTTCTTTGTCTATATTTACACAACAACAAATAAACAATCAAAAAGATTTAAAAGACTTGCATCATCTAGTTTGTCTGTCATGTTATATTTAAATTAATATTTTAATATGCACCACAAATTATATAACTATACAGTATAGGCCATGTATTTGTTGTTGTGCTATTGTTTTTATTTGTATGTTTTGTTGCCCATTCATAGCTGTTAATTTAAGTATAGTATCCTGCTAATTCATTATTGAATATGTAGCTTTTAAATGGTGCTGATTCCAAACCTAGGTGAAGGGAGGCTTTTTAATAATTATAAGCTTAAACCAATTTATTCGTAAAAATAAAAAAAAATGTATGACTTTATTATATTTACATTGAGGTTCATAAATTTAGTTAATAATCCTATTAATTTATTTTAAAACATAATATTGTGAAAATAAAAAAAAATACAACTCATAGAGAAAAGTAATTGAATCAGGTTAGAATAAAAAAAATAAAGTACGACTTTACATTGAGGCTCATAAAAAGGTTCATAAATTTAGATATAATCCTAGTAGTTTATTTTAAAACAAAATATTGTGAAAAAAAAATACAACTCATAGAGGAAAATAATTGAATCAGGTTAGAATTTAAAAAATAAATTACGACTTCATTATATTTACATTTAGGCTCATAAATTTTGATTTGAACTTTATTTATAACAAAATATTGCGAAAATTGTAAAAAAAATACACCTCTTAGAGAAAAAGTAATAAATTGGATCAGTTATCTCTATTATAGTTTGTGCTTTTGACTATTTATCACAAGCTTACGGTGGAAATAAGATTTTGTTAAGCCATGTTTAGTCACTAACCTCTATTATCCCTACTAATATTGTAAATGCGAAACTGATTTTAATTAAATTTGCCATGGAGAAACTTTGATTCTTGAGGAAGTACATAAGCTACTTTTTACCGCAATAAAAGCTAACACTATATAATAGAGGTCAGTGTAAAGTCAGCATAATTAGATGTAATCATGTTTATTACTCTACGTGTGGTGACAGTATAAGAATACGGAGTGTCACCAACCCTATTCATCCCATGGGTTACGACCCGACTAAGACAACAGCACTGCAAAGAAAAGGAAAACTTGAAACAAACCTTATAACCCGTCTGGCCAGCGTGGTACAGTAGGCCAAAACCTCCTTTCTAAGGAGAGGCCTATGTCCAGCAGTGGACTACTAAAGGCTGTTGATGTGATGTTTATATAACACAGCTATAATATGCACTTCAGTAGTCTGGTTTCACTACATGACAAGGGAGTATATATTTATCTTTATCCATGAAAATTTACAGCATTTAATCATGACTTTAATCAATGGTTAAATTGCATTTAAAATTACTTTTGGATGTATAGTTAGGTAAAATGAAACATATGGAGATTTGATATTGTCTGTAATTGAGTCATACTTATTTATGGTCACATTGTTGTTTGTATATAATGAACTTAAAAATATATATAATAAATTTACATTTTAAACTAAATCCCTGTATTTTCATTTAACTCCTGGAGGCAAATGAATCTGTTGTCTTGGATGTCCAAAGCAACATAATATGAGCAGTTATAATAAACATTTTCACATTTTGCTGAGGCAGCCAATCAAAAAGTTCTCTATCACAGTTTGTGCTGTAAAAAAAAAAGGATAATTAAAAATATATACAAAAGCAATATTTACTATGGTGATGGTAAATTAAAAGTGTATGACAATTTGTTTTCATCAAACACCATTCTTATAGTTAAGATAATTACCAAGTTTGCAGTTATTGGTAGTAGTCAAGGTGTAAGCATCTTGGTTATAATCATTGGTAAGGGTGAGATCAGCTCCCCTAATCAGGAGCTCATTGCAAGTGTAAGGGAAGTCAGCTGCTGCAGCATACATTAATGCTGTGCTACCAGACTAAAACAAAACAGAAAAAATTAAAAAGGTTATTTATTGTTAATCCTTGCACAATAGCTACATTACTTTTTCTTTGTCTTTCTTTACACAACAATTAACAAGGAATCAAAAACATTTACAAGACTTACATCATCTTGTATGTCTGCATCAGCTCCTTCATTCAAAAGAAACTTCACAACCTCATGGTGCCCACCAGCTGCTGCCAGGTGTAGTGCCGTCTCTCCTTCAGGGCCCCGCATGTTAACATTGGCACCACACCTACATATAGCAACAAAAATATTTTTTTAATTATAAATGATAATACACTACTGTGTAGCTTGCAGGATGTGCACTTATACATAGATCAACATAGTACCTATTGAGTGTCATTTTAATATTATCAATGAAAGACAAAGAACAAAGAAGGTTCTATATATTTTAGGAAACGGACATACCATACTAAGTCTTGACAACTGTTTAACTGTCCGTAGCTGGCTGCCCAGTGCAGGGCTGTAAGACCATGCTCATCAGTGATGTCAACATACTGCTCCAGTTTCACGTCGTCACGAGTTATTTCACCGCGGCCAGCCTTAGCGTGTAAACTACTATCTGGCTGGGGTAACTCCGGGACTCGCGCCTGCGTATTACCTACAAAAGCAACCTTGAGCGTTTACTTACCTACTTCAAACCCACAAAGATATTCGTAGAAATCGATACTATTCGACCTACTAAAACTTAGTCAAATACACTAAAATAACAAACCTCTTTGTAAATTTGTTAACGCTGTACACTGAACTGGTTTGTAAGGCGTAAATGCACTTTTTCTAATGCCGTTAAAATTAGGCGCCCAACGTTGATATCCGCCACTACCACTTTTGCTACTATCTTGACTTCCCGAGTCAAACTCATACTTATAGCTATCAACATTTTCCTGCTTTTCTTGCTTGATATCAAAATTTTTGCCCTCGTTTTTGACAGATACGGCTTCTTCCATTTCCAGATTGTTTTTTCGTGCAATCTGAATCAACAACAGTCCGAAATTTGTCACAAAAATTGTAAATAACCATAGACAATATGAGACGGAGCCCAACGTTGCCACACAACAATTCAAGAAGCGAACTTTTATTATCAACAAAAAAAACTTACTTAAAATGTAAACTAGAAACTTTCTCATTTTTCATGGGAAGAAAAAACTATAAAAGTGATAGCAAATTTTGCGTCAAATGTTAATGAATACGATCTCCTAACAACAGGGATCAACCGGAGATAGTGGGAATAGCTTTCAGCGCACACCTATGTGGATCATGTTTTTTTTTAATGTTCCTTGTAAAAATCTCTATACTAGTCGGTGTAGTGTGGCATTGGTATGGCACACATTTCTTCTGTCAATATCTAAACTTTTTAGAAACAAAACCCTAAAATGACGGTCCTCAGTTTGATGGCATCGAACGTTGTTTCTTGTCCCGTTTACAAGACCCGAATTTTGCTGGTGAAAGGTAACTTTAGACAAAGAATTTGAAATGTTAAATATTCATAGGACAAAAAGCTCCAAACTGAACTAAACCGTTTGTTTTACAAGTAAGGAGTTGACACCTTAGTAAACTAAATCTTGATCTTGGAATGAAACGATATCTTGAAATTAAATGGTAGGACGAGAATAATCGGTATATTCAACGGAACGCTCCTCATTGTGGAGGCAATAAGATACGGCCAAAGAATCAACGTTTTCAAGCAACTGCGGTGGTTCAATATGACGTTAGAAGCACAAATTATGTAGACAGTAAGTCACTGCAAACTAATAAGTTCCGTGTAGGGTCATTTTAAATATTTGAGTAGGCAAATTGAAGTCGTTTTCATGTATACACACTATCCAAGTTCAGAGTGTCCAAATTTTTTAATCTTGTTAATTTTGCTAATTTGAACGCCTAAATTTTTTAAACCCTTTTATAAGTTTAAATTAAGCGTTTAGTGAAATTATAATTTAAAACGATTTGACATGACAGAATTAATATCACAGTGACAAACTAGAAATGATCAAATGCTGAGTCCCTACGATACGAATTTTGATGCACTTGTATCTGGAAGGAATGTAACTGGAAGAGTAGACAGAGGAAGGCAGGGAAGAAGGGAAGGTATTTTTGTGAACACACACACACACACATTGTGAACAGTGTTTGTATTCCCTAGCTAAAATAGGTATCTCATTGATTACTTTTGTCTATCAAAAAGAGTTCATTCAGTTTGCAATGTCTTGTAAGGATACAGATCCGATATATATCGCACAGTTACAGCACGGGTTTCGTGGCTTTTGAGCAAACGTTCTTTAGAAACTTGGTTTTCATTCAGCATAGTCTGTCCCTCTTCGCTTTCTTTCATCTCTTAATTGCCATTAATTGTGGTGCTTTAGCATAAAGTTAGCGTCTTAGTTGCTTGATACCTAAACGCGGAGATAGAACGGAAGCAGAAAGTTTAAAAAGTAGTGATGTATGTCCTATTGAAAGTTGCAAATGACTATGAGAGCAACCATCTGAAGTTTGAAAGTATCGATAAAATGCAAGTCTAGAATAAAATTATACAACAGCGGTTTGAGTTACTCTGCATTAAAATCAATAATTTTCCACAAAGACAGTGACCATTAATTAACTATAGTTTAAATACGACTAACTTGCTATCAAAAGAAATCGAAACTTGCATCATACTTATATTAGGTCGTTTACACGCATGGCGAGCCTCGACAAGTGTTCACAAACACAAGCGTGTAAACGGGGTGTTTGGCTCGGCTCGCGTATGCTCGAAGTCGATCGGACTAGTGTCGGTTTTTGAACACTGATCAAAGGAAGCTTTGCGATTTACACTTTGGCGCGTGCTTGTTCCCTACTGCTCCATTTGATATTACACGTATTGTAGTTGAGCAGTCGGGAAGCAACATTAAGTCTCAATGCCCTACTGATTGAGCAGTTTAGTTGAGCAGTCGGGCTACAGAATATATTTTATTAGTTTTATATAAATTTTGAATAAAAATATGTAAACGTCTGCTATGTTCGCCTGTCCAGAACACAAAAGCACACTCGCAAGCGTGTAAATGGCATCCAAGTGTTTCTAAAGACTTGGAGCTTGTGGACGTTTGCAGAGCCTCGGCACACATGTAAACTATGCATAATATTAACAAAGAGAACAATTCAATAAATGACTGGGCAAATTGAAAAATGGTTTCATCTTTGCGACATTCGATTAAACTGTACCCTTTATGCACTTACGCTGCTCTGGATCATTTTATTTTCAGGAACGGAGGGTAAAATTCAGAGCGCACTTTTTTCTGCTGAATCCAAATCATCACAATCAAAACTTTTTTCTTATAAGTTACAACTGTCAAATGTCAAATTTAATTTTCAAAAATTCAAACTTTAGAAGTCTATTATAAAATAACCCTACTGTTACTGAGTTATTAAGGCCTATCCTAAGTTTTAATATAAGTAAGTCCAGATTAAACTATTTAAAGTTACCGTTAAAATGAATCAAATGCAACAAGACTTACAAAATGAGCTAACGACTGCCAACCAACTTTTAAGATTAATGTAAGTTATATTCTTACTCGTTAGAAATTAAATAAAGTAGAGTCGCCTTTTAAGCAATTATAAATAGTAACGTTGAACAATATTAGAACAAATCTTGAATTTAATCAAATGATTTTTTTTGCAGATCGGTCGAGTTACAACAAATTAAACATTTAACAAATAATGGGGGAGAATTCGAATCTCACATCAAGCAGGTAATTACAAATTATTGAATATTTGAAAAGGTTTCTTTTATTATATTAGGCGTCTGAGTACCTACACATTTTCAACAACTCTTGCACCATTTGTACTCTGTAGATGAGGATATTAAGTTGATAATATTTTATTTTGCTGTGTTAATATCTAGTTGGACATGTATATTGAAGAAAATGATATACTGGAAATAATTCCTATGATAAGTATTAGTATGAATGAATAAAAAATAAACAATTGAATTATTATGGAAGTAGATGTGTGGGTACGGGTAATGACTATCACTGCACATGATGGACGCCTGCACCTCAAGAGTCACAAGGGTGCCAAATCTGCCAAAATAACACACACACATACATGCATACACACACACACAAACAAATGTTTCTAAGAAAAATAATTTTGTATTTAAAATAATGTTTCCTAATAGTTTACCTTAATATCTCAAATTATTATGTTAAATCATGCAATGTAAAATATGGAGGAGCAGAATTTTCTACACAGGCATTATTTGCTTAAAAGCAGATTCTGAGCACAACTTTCTGTAAACTTTATTTTATTATTATTTACTATAAATGTGCCAAAATATTTCTCTCCCATGGTTAGAATGAAGAATAGAGGAGAAATAATTGAATAAAGAATAAAAATGCAGGAGTATTAACATTAACTTCTCACGTGCCGCTACACTTTACAGCCACATGAGGAATTAATAATGTGGCCGATGTATAGGCTGCCCCTTTCTTACTCATAATATTAAGTGGGCAAAAAATATTATAAGGTCATTTTGTAGCAGGTTCTTAGAAGTTCGATGAATTTTGACTTCGTTACTTACATTCTAGGGCAGTAATATAGGTTTATTCTCCTATGTTCACCTGGGTGATATCACCCGGCTGAATAAAGTAGATTTTTTCTAAATTTCTTCCCAGGAGGCAGTACAAAATGCTTTCACACAGTTTGTCGAATCTAGATCCTAGAGTTCTATCGTAAAGGCATAAATGAGCTTCCGTTTAAATGGCAGTAGTAAATATGTTGATTAAATAAATGTCTATTATATTTAATAAATATCTTTAAAAAAACGAGTTTCAATTTTTCAGTACAAATCGGCAATATCATACTTTAACCGGTTAATATTAACATCTGTAAATTTGAAAGTCTTTATTATCATGCTTTATGTGAGTGATAAAAGTGCACAAAATGAACAAAAAAAGTCGCATTTGTTCACCTGGGTAAATCAATTTGTCTGCTTATGTCGACTTATTTCACCTAGATGAAATTCTTCCAAGGTGAAATGAGGAAGCCAAAAAATCTACTTCATTCACCGGGGTGATATCACCCAGGTGTAAAAAGTGGAGTAAACCATAATATATTGTTTTCTATACACTTGCAAAATAATATAACTGAAGTAATAGATTGCAAAAATTTTGTTTCAGAATGCATCTCTAATAAAAACACTAGCTAATCTCCAACAAGTAGATCTGGAAAAGTTACCTTCATTCACTAGGAAACTGATGGATAATACTATGCATTCCAACCAGAATGTCTCTTACGATCAACACAATACCTTCAGAAATGACTCTGAACTCTCTTCCATAGGCGCTGATAGTAGTACAACGTCATTAGCAGAGTTCAACAAAAGGAGGAAGCTTTAAATTTGGCTTTTTTTATGTTATTACCTTATTAGTCATTTATATAAATATTATTATTTAAAAATCCTGTTTTGTTCTGTTGAAATTTGAAGACCTGCCGAAGGGTGCAAATTAAGGAATAGAGAATCCAGTTTATGAATTCATGACTGTTGCCACATTAAAATCAGTTCAAAGTCATTATGATTGTTTTTGGCTTTTTGGCTTCTGTCATAGGTTGTATTTCTAAAGTGTCATATATAAATATGCTTAGAATTAAAACAGATGTGGTTTATGCATAGTTAAAAAGTCCTTAAGTGTATGTCTATGGCAGTCATTGTAGTTCCACTTAATTTTTTAATAAATATAATATGTTCTGTATGCAGTATGCATCTTCAGATCATTTCTTGCACAGCAGAGTATATAATGTGTAATTTTGTAACATATAATAAACTCAGTCTCTTCATATCTGTGACCTCTTATATGTATGAGAATAGGAAATGCCACTGTTTACCAATGTCCATGTGATAATATATGAATTTAAGACCAGCGGTTGAACCAATAAATGAATATAAACATAAATAATTAAGTTAATTCTGTGTTTTTTAGTTAAGTAAGCCGTGTAGTGTTTGAGCAATTAAATTTTTCCTAAGTTTCAAAGATACATACATGGATTTTGACTAAAATGTTCATTTGGATAAGATAATAAAAATGAATGTTTTATACATAATTCCTTTATTTCTTTGTGACTTATACTTTTACATCACAATTAGTTAAGTATAAAATCTTGTTAACACAGTAACACTAGGCAACATATTGTAAATTTTGAGCTTTAGATAATTGCAGTAGGCTACAAATTTACTTTAATATCCTATTTGTATATATTTTTTTTATTTACTTAGAAGAATAATAAAGCAATAACAGTTATTTATTATAGTCTTAAAAATAGTAACAGATTCAGGGTTTTAGGGTTTTCAATTACCTATCTAGCAGTTAATTATATTAATATATTATAGAGATGAGCATTGCGGTTCTATAATATTCGACATCTCACTCCTCATAATCATTCTTTCACTCCAGCAATAACCCTTCATCACTAACTGTCGCTAAATACTCTATTTACACATCTTTTAGCTTTAGTCACACTCTTATTTCTGTGACTGAATTATAATATGCATTTAATCTTTAAAAGAAATAAATAATTAGTCACCTGTGCCAATCGAAGTATAAATTAATTAATTATTACATTTACTATGATTTGAATGTTTCCATATATATATATATATATATGGAAACATTCAAATCATAATCAAATATATATATATATATATATTATCTTTAAAAGACAACTCCCGCATTAGGAATATATCCTGAGTCGCGGGGGACTTTACAAACATATATGAAACGGACACAAAGAACACCCAGTCTTAGAACAACATTTTGTGGATCACACAAACTGTCGTCCCATGTTTGGTTTGAACCCACAACACTCGGCGCAGTAGGAAGCGGCGTGGCGACCGCTTAAACCACTGCGCCATCTGTGCAGTTGTATCCGTATATATATTATTGAACCATCACTTTCTCAAGAGATCGTTCAATAGTGAGAGTTCCTTATTTATTCATCTTTCTATTATGTATGTAACAAAATTATATACTACTCATATGTGACAAATTTAAATAGCACCTTATAATTTCATTCCGATACATCAATCATTAACGCCAGTAAGTTGATACGTGACACGTGATTCCTTCCAGTATTTTTCTGAAGAAGTTGTCGTGTCTTATCGAGTGGCCAACCATTTTGCCTCTTATGTTTTCAATGACATTCAACAATTGATTCTCTTCGTTTGCCATTGGTAGGACTTCCTCATTGATTCTTTTCTCTATGCAACTGGTATTCATCATTCCCCTCCAGCACCTCATTTCAAATGTTGACAACCTGTCTCTGTCTCTTTGGTTCAGCGTCCACGTTTCGCAGCTATAAAGTGCAATACTCCATATATATGTCTTGATGAGCTGTTTTCTTATTTCGGTGTTGATCTTGGCCTTGAAAAGGTGTTTCTTACGATCGAAGGCTTGTTTGGCGATTGTACTTTGTCTCTACTATGTCTGGGGAACATCTAGCATCTTGCGTTATTCGGCTACCTAAATATTTCTCAATTACAAAATTCAATAAATTAGTATTAGTGATATCCCATATACTAAATTTACAATTAAAATACCAGGGCTGGCATTAAAAGTGACAAATGTTTAGATTTTTAAAATAGAATAAGTATTAAAGGTATTTCAGTCACGAAACAAAAGTAAAACTAAGTCTAAATTTCTCACAAGGATGGAAATATCTATTTTACAAATGTTTATCCCTCCCTCCTTGCCTTCTTGATAAAGCCATGGTAACAGCTTAAGACTAGATATTCTATGATACGGGAATTAATAGGTATATCAATGTTGGAATAAAGCTGCTTTCTCTTTGAACCTCTGCATCCTTTGAGCTTTTTCTTCGGCTTCCCGACGTTTCTCTTCTTGCTCTTGAATAATTTCGTTGTGGAATTTATTACTTTTGGCTAGTTCCTCAATTTTTGCCTCAAAAAAGTTTTTAGCACCGTTTACTCCTACTTGATCTACGTTTATTTCAGTCAGCCTGGCGAATGCGTCTAGACCGGAATCAGTTTCAAGTTCTCCAGCACGAGCTTTCCTGTAAAATAAGTTAAAAAACAGACTAAAACTACAGAGTAGAAAATAGCGTCTCAAAATTTTCAACAGGATCATTCATTTCAATTTTAATGTTAACTTTTTAATGTTACTTAACTGAGTTCTACGCAATGTTATGATAAATTGTACTAACAATATGATTATTTAATACCGTATTATACATATCTGTAATACCAGGATAAAATTATCTAATACAAAGCAAAACAGGTTTCCTTTTAGGGCTATTTACGCTATTTTATTACATTAGTAGGTACCTACTGTGATTTAATATGTTTGATTTATGTATGTACATGCTTTGTGTATCTAATCCAATAGTTATTGGACTTTATAGATAGACAAACGTACTAACCTTCGTAACATACATACATACCTACACACACTCTTCTTTTGGTACAAGGGGTAAACGACTACATTTCGCTGACTATAATTTTAGTCTCACTTACTTATTATTAATGCGTAAACCGGGCACGTACCTGTAAATGAGTAAGAATTCTCGAAAACTGATTTTGTTGTCTCCATCTTCATCAACCTCTGAGATCATAGCTTTCAGTCCAAGATGGGTCTGTGGTGCTCCCAGCCGCTCCATCATTCGCTTAACTTCTGTCAAGTCCAGATATCCATCTCGCCCCTCATCAAATCTGAAGTTATAAAAAATACATTTCATTACTTTCCATACACGAGGCTTTCTACTGGAGCTTTTAGAGACATGTTATTGGATAGAATAACTTGCCCAGATATCTGATACTGCGGTATTAAGAGAAAATTCATGTCCAATAGTAAAATACTAAAAATTATTATTGTCGGTATTATAAAATACATGTACACAGGTAGTCGTAGAAAGCGTTAACGTATCTTACTTTTTACCAAGAATCATTCTAAGTAGGTAACAGTCGCTAATAATGGAACAAACGACACCGTTACGTTGTTCATAGTGTCGTGTATGGGGGGAATGCTAATTTATATGCGTAGAACATGACAGACTTTCGCTCATTGATGTTTATAACTTCTATCGACGTATTAATTTATTTTAATTTGGATTTGTATAAAGCTCAGAGATAGTCATTTTTCTTTGATCTGTGTCATTACTATTCATGCTTATGAAAGTTATGACAGCGATTACATCACGGTTATATCGTTTAACAGATAACCTTATCTTGTAGATTTTACGTGTATAAGTAAAATCTACAAGATACGTGTCAGGTCGGTGCCCTGGTCGGGCGGACGACCTGTAGAATTGTAGCTGCTGCGTGACAAACAGGGATTTCTCATCCCCGTTCTCTCAAAGGCAAAGTTACGTTGACGGAACATTGTGTGGTTTCTTATCACACCGTTGTATTCGTCACTTGAGTTTACACTTCAGCATAGTACAGCGTCGCAGTTACGGTTTTTCGCAATGACACATCAATGCGGTCGTACTGTTGTGTCATACTTATACCACAGAATTTATAGTAGCTCATGCTTGGCTTTGGTACCGTAATATAGTTGCAAACGTTTAGCACACATGACTAAGTTGAGAGCTTGTTGATACGCTTGGCACGTACAAGTTTCACATAAATATATCACCTACATATGTACATACATCGGTAATGTTCACCTCCCAAAACACTATTAGGTTGCTTAAAAGAAACGAATAAATGTCCGAATGATTGACTCCAGAAGATGAATGTAATCTAAAGACTTCAAATATATAACAGTGATATAAGTTTTATTAAAAACTAGTGGATTCGTGGCTTTTCTAGTTAGTAACTTTAACATTATTAAAATAAAGGATGCGTAAGTCTATGTTACATAAAGTAGTTTTCTAATAGTGAAAGAACTAATGAAGTCTTTTAGTTTCCAATAATATCGACTAGAAACGAAAAATTAAAAAAAAAAAAGATTTTTCCTCTTTATAATATTATTCACATAAATGTACATTTAGTATTCATATTTTAAAAACAAAAACATGGCAGTGTTTCCTCTGCCCACGTAGACAGTTTGTCTAGTTAGATAGATCATTCTTCTTACAAAGCATACTTACAATTATATAAGCCTGTGTATTTGCCTACTGGGAGGAAGAGTATGGTTGTGGTTTATCTTTCTTCATGATTTTAAAGTTAGTTGTATTTAATTTTATTCAAACATCGACATAAATACGAACACTTTATAAGCGTATAATATAAAATAATTATAATCTTTAAGCGTAGCTACATACATAGTACATACTCGTAAAAAATGATTATGAATGATGATGTTAGACGTACCGATTTCTTGGTATACGTACCATTTTCAGGGTCTTGTACCGTGTATCAACTAAATATTGTGATGTATTATTATAAAATTAATATTGTGTGTAAACAATACAATATATAAGTTGTTACTGTACGTCATGGTTACAACATTGATTGTTGTGAAAGTTTCCTGTTTATAATGATATTAATTTTTGACCCATTAAGTAACTTACTTCAGATTAACTTTATCAATCGAGCGAATTATCCATGGATGACGGGTATGATTTTGTCAAAAAATAATATAAAAATTCGCTTAATGTAACTCACGGTTGATTTTTATTGTATTTTTCCAAGTTATGTATAGACATTAAATTATAAGATCTAATAATAAAACGTCAAGGAATAATGAGAATAACTATTATTGTTACTTTTTTATCCGGTATGATTTTTTTTTCAAATAATCAAGAATTTCTTCGATAATTCAATATTTCATAATTATTTTTATTAATATAACGTTATTTTGAGTGTATCAACTTTTTTGTTCAAATACCAGCTTTTAGAGCCTTTTAGCGAGATCTGTACCAGCTTTGGCTCACCACAATCTAACACCCCAGTAGGAAGGGCACGCACAGGTAAGAGGTAATGCAGTACGAACTAGGTGTGGATTTTAAATGGCATATTTCCGGCTTTGTGTTTGTATTAGTCCAATATGATAATGATAACTTTGTTGTCAGTTATGTACGATCAGAGAGTACAGTAATACTATTAGAGCTATTAGAGAATGTATGATAATGGTTATGTACAGCGTTTGAGTTTAAAGTATAAACAGCGCTTTTGAGTTCTTATGGTATTATTGAAATAATCGTCTGGGCCCTATAAATTGTATAGAACGATGTATCAGAACGATCTAATTAACAAAATGAAAATATTACTTTTCGGTAAAACTTAGTACCTATTTCAAAATAGTAAATTATGAAAAGAGATTTTAAACGGTCTATAGAGAATTATTTTTATAATGTTAACTAATAGATTGGGCAAGAAGTTATATCACAACAATAGACAAAAGAATAAAAAAAGACAAATATGGAGATAGGTAGGAGGTAGATTACTGCATTCTACTTTTGAACATGATGTATACCTTGACCTGTTGAACTGTATGCCAATAATGTTAATTTAATGTGTTCGATATTAAAATCATAAGATATAAACTAAATGTACTATATTCGTTACAGGAAGGAATACTGTTCAAAGGAGTGGCACAATCAAGGCCGTAATAGTATGTCCCCCTTATTTTGTTAGCAGCAGACTGTGATATGATGCGTAGATTGTAGATAGGTACGTAATAGATATCGCGGGAAGTGCATAACACTATAATTTATTGTATCCTCAAGTTTATTAAGAAGTATGTAGTTATGGGCACTTAAGGAAACAGTCAATTTTACGTCAGAAATCCTTCCTTAAGGTTCTTATGTTTTTTATTATATTTTGTTATAAGGACTGTGAAATATAATTCTGTAGCTACAAAAGCAACCTTAAACGTATGTTGTAGTCATGGAGAGGTAAACAGGTAGCAAGTATCAAATCACATTGTGATGAAGTCGTTTCAAGGTAAGAGAAGGCTATTCTTGCTACCTATTAACTAGGTACTGTAACTGCCGTTTACTTTAAGTATTGAAGAGTACTGGGTTGCTAAGAGTTTTCATGTTTTTTTTTTTAAAGTAGGAAACTTAACAGTCACTTAAATGAAACGTTTTCTGCGAAACATTATTAATCCCATATCGATTAATTCTTACAAATCAAATACATAGTGTTGACGTGTCCATGAGGCCAATCTTATCAAATCCATTACACATTATTAAAATCTTTAAATAAGCGCAAATAAATACTATACCACGCTGGCCAGACGGGTTGGTATAGGGTTTCCCAATATGGGTGGACCCAGCGTCGCGACAAGACGGCTGTACACGGGGGTTGTCCGGTCAATGGCATTGTACGGTGCACCGGTGTGGGCGGCGGCTCTGACCGCCCAGAATAGGGTACGCCTCTGGCGTCCTCAGAGGGTAATGGCGGTCAGAGCCATACGCGGTTACCGCACCGTTTCGACGGAGGTGGCATGCGCGTTGGCCGGAACTCCCCCGTGGGATTTGGAGGCGGAAGAGCTCGCCGAAGTTTATCGGCGAGTGGCTGCCTCCCGGGCGGAGAGCGGATTTCGCCCTCCGCCCGAGGATGTGCGCGAGTGGCGCGAAGCCGCTCGCCGAGCCACGATGGCTCGTTGGTCGTTCCGGCTGGAGACTCCACGCGCTGGCTTCGCCGCCGTGGAGGCTCTCCAGCCGGTCATCGCCGAGTGGGCAGGGCGGCAGCACGGGACCCTTTCCTTCCGGCTGACGCAGGTGCTTTCCGGGCACGGTTGCTTCGGAAAGTACCTGCACTCGGTCGCTAGGAGGGAACTGAGTCCCGCCTGCCACAACTGCGACTGCAGTGAGGACTCGGCCCAGCACACGCTGGCGGTCTGCCCCGCATGGGCGGCGCAGCGCCGGGCCCTCACTGCAGTCATCGGAGTGGATCTCTCGCTACCGGCCGTAGTACGCTCCATGGCCGGTAGTGACAGTTGTTTTACCGCGGTCGCAACCTTCTGCGAGGTAGTAATCTCGCGGAAGGAGGCGGCGGACCCGATCCGCCGCCGGCGAACCGGGCGGCGGAGGCCCGCCTATCACAGCCTCATGCCGCCCTGAGTGTGGCCGCGGGTGGACGGGGTGGGTTTCCCCTCCACCCGCATTAGTTTGGCCAGCCGCGAGGGGGCGGCGTCCGCGTGTGTGTGTGAAAAAATATTGAGACGGAGCCCGCACCAGGAGCGGGCTGGCGCTAGGAGGGGTCCGGATGTCTTAACAACAGCTGTTCCCGGATCCCTCCTGTTACAGGCGCAGAGTGGCACACCGTGTGGTTTTAGTCGGTCCGAGTCCGACACACCACCCCGCCGCAAACCCCGGAGGGGTGACGGTCCGAGGGGATTTCCACACGTTAAAAAAAAAAAGGGTTTGTTTCAAGTTTTCCTTCTCTTTGCAGTGCTGTTGTCCTGCGTAGTTTGCTCCCTCAGTCGGCTCTTACGACACCCACGGGATGAATAGGGGTGATGACACTCCGTATTATTAATTCTTCACCACACGGACGGTATAGGTACTCATAGCACGGAAATAATATTGTCAAATAAACGCTTCACTCGTACTATTTTATGTATTTCTTTGGAATCTTTTTAATTTGCAACGACATTACTAAAAAATGATTCATAACTATTACTGTACTTACTACGCAACGGGAGTTCCCGGGAGCAAAACATATAGAATATGGATATTCGCTGCGGGAGTCATTGACTCACATGTGTTTGAAACCCCAACCAATAGTGTGGTTTTAACATTATACAATTATTCTAA